TGGAACTAGCTCTTGTAGACCAGGCTGGCCTCGAACTCACAGAGATCCACCTGCCTCTGCCTCCCGAGTGCTGGGATTAAAGGCGTGCGCCACCAATGCCCGGCCCTTAGTAAGTTTTTATGTACCAATCACCTGTTGACCTCCTTGGGGTCTAGTATGTTCATTCTGTAAAAGTTCACTCATATCAGTTACTTTTTTTTTTTGGTTTTTCAAGACAGGGTTTCTCTGTATTGTTTTGGAGGCTGTCCTGGAACTCGCTCTGTAGACCAGGCTGGCCTCGAACTCACAGAGATCTGCCTGTCTCTGCCTCCCGAGTGCTGGGAATCAGTTATTTTTTATAGAACACTAGACTGATGCTAGCTATACTTAATGAAAATATTTACTACTTTGTGTATGTTTATGTGTAAGTGATCATGTATGCAGGTGTTTGTACAGAGCAAGTGAGATCATGTGTGCAGGTGTTTGTGCATGTGCAGGCGAGATCATGTGTGCAGGCTGAGACTGGAGAAACTCCTCTGGTGTTTCACTTCATAAACATTATTCACCTTTTTTTTTTTTTTTTTTTTTGGTGACAGGGTTTCTCTCATTGGCCAAGAACTCAGCAAGAAGGCTAGGTGGACTGGCCAGTGAGCTCAGGGTATCTACCTGGCTCTTATTTCCCCTGTGCTGGGATTACAAGTGCATGCCACCGCCATGCCTGGCTTTCTTCTGAGCTTTGTTTACTTTCCATGGACACAACTATGGTTGTGTTGTGATCCAGACTCTCTCTCTGTCTCTGTCTCTCTCCAGGGTCTCTCTGTTTGTATGTGCCCTGGCTGTGCTAGACCTCTGTAGAACAGGCTGGCTTAGAACCCACAGAAATCCAACTGCCTCTGCCTCCCAAGCTCTGGGATTAAAGGCGAGGCATGTGCCACCACCGCCCAGTGATCCAGACTCTTGTGGTTCCCCCATCACTTTGGCTTTTGTCATTGTTTGAATATAAAGTACTCCTCCAAAAGTCTCACATGTTGAAGGTCTGATTCCCAGCAAAGTTCAAGAGTGGGGCATTTGGAAACTGATTGACTACCAGGACTTATTAATGTATTGATGGAATCCTATTATGGAATTATTAGAAAGTGGTAGTAGCCGGGCAGTGGTGGCACACAACTTTAATCTCCGCACTCAAGAGAAGGCAGAGGCAGGTGGATTTCTGAGTTCGTGCCAGCCTGGTCTACAAAGTGAGTTCCAGGACAGCCAAGGCTACACAGAGAAACCCTGTCTCAAAACAACAAGGTGGTAGAAATTGATAGGTAGGGCCTAGTTGGAGGAAACATAATCCTGGAGTTGTGATTTGGAAATATGTACCTTGTCCAGCGCCCCAGCTCCCTAAGCTATCCCTCTCTGCTTCCTGGCTGCTGTGAAGTAACTGTTTTGCACTGCCTTTTTCTCACGATCTGCCTAAACAGGGCCCAGAAGCAACAGAGAATCCAGTCATTGAAACCTCTAAAACTATGACCTCTAAAACATTTTCTCCCTCCTTGTGGTACCGGTACAGTGTGAAGTAACCAGCACAGCCTCCAATGTTTCTGCCTCAGTGAGGACCAAGTCTGCTTGGCCCTTTAGGCCTTCCCTGGGTCTTCCTTCAACCTATCCTAGTGAACTCAGGAGATTAACTTCCCTTTGTGCTACCCCTCCCCGGGAAGCCCTTTTTGGAGGCTACCATTTCTCTCACCACAGATGCCCCTGGCTTGGACATAAGGTACCCTGTCAGCTGTCCCTTACTGAATTTGCAGATCCCTTTTCATTCTCTCCCAGGACTCCTACCTCAGGCGTCATTAGCTACACTGGCCAGCCCATATCCAACTCAGTGGCTGAATCAAGTAGTCTCAAGGACGAACCTTCATTTCCCTACCACTACAGCCTTGACCTCCTCCTGATAATGATCTCATTCACCCAGTCACCACAGAAGCTGTCCCCCATAAGTTATTTCAATCCAGCTTCCCATTCTCTGTCAATCACCTGTCTCGGGGCCAGGGTGGACCCTCCACTGATTCTTGAGGTGGATATAGTGGGGCCTGAACATATCATCAGTGGGCTGTGGGCAACACGACAGACAATGGGAACACCCCATCCCGTATCTCCCCTTAACCCCCCTTAAACCTGGGCAGAACTGTGGGTGGCAGCAGAGGAAGACACTCATAGACCCAACACTGAGACCCTTATTGAAAAGGGATAAAAGTTGGACCAAAACAGCAAGAGGAGAGCCTCACAAGGAGGTTTTGTTGGAGTTGCTGGGAGAGGCAGGATAGTGGGCCTGCACTTACCCACTGACTGAGGGCTTCTTTGCTCCGCTTCAGCAACAAAGCCTTCTCAGGCTGCAACTCTCAATGGAAGGGACTCTGGGGCCTTGGGTAAAGGAGCTTACAACTTGTCAAAATGAGTGGTCAACTACTCAAGTCTCTGGTTGGATCAAGGGGCTGGAGACTCTCTAAATGAAAGTGGGGGCAGGGAGTCAGGTTCACAAGGGCAGTTGGAATGCCCAAGTAATTGCACCTGGGTCCCATATGCGCCACTGGGCTGGTGGGGACTGATGGTCAAGGCCTGGACCCAGCTGCCCCTCCTAGCTGTGCCCCGCCCCGCCCCCCCCCCGTGGTGGTGGGGGGAGTCCTGAGGGATCTACCATAGCCAGAGTAAGGCCTGTTTGAGTGGTCCAGGCACGGGTCTCTCTCTCCCATCAAAGGGGTTAGGGGCCAAAGGAGAGGGGAGAAGGACAAGGGGTTGGGGGGGGATGTATATTGCACATAAGGACAGATTATATGAAGGGTTGGAGAAAAGAATTGAGCGCAGAGCCACAGAGGAAAGGGAGTCGACTCAGGAAAGGCTGGAGGGGCGAAGGACCACGACTAAGAAAGAAGGGATCCGAGGGGCAAAGGATAGGGACAGACCAGACAGGATGACTAGGCCTGTAAGGGACCTACAGGAAGTGGGAGGACAGAGTTGGGGGCAGGGACAAGGTCCAGAAGAAGGCAGTAAACGGAGGATGAGGGGGAAAGAGCCTGCCTGAGCCCCGAGGGTCCGTCTGGTAATTAGACCTTGTTCCAGATGAACCCCCCACCCCCGTCCAGCAATCAAAATGCTAATTGGCCTGACGCCTCCGGCTGCGCCTCAGCCGTTCCCCTCTGGGAAGGAGCCGGGGACTAGTGGCATGGCTGGCGGGGAACCCTCGCCCCCAACCCCCCACTGCGAGCTTCGCCGGCTGCTGCTCAGCGATAAGGGGGAGGCCGTACCCGCCCTACCCCTCGGGAGCGCCTGCCACGCAAGATGAATGTCCGGCCGCTGAGGAGCCGGGCCGCTAGCATAAAGCAGGCGAGTGGTCTCCACGCTCAGTGTGGGCAGGAAGCTCGCATCCACCGTGGCCGCACGCGAGGCAGTGGCCGCAGGTAGCAGCCGAGCACGCAGCAGGAGGGCCGCTGAGCTCAGCCCTGCTGCGCGGGCCCGGCGTCTGCGCCCGCCCGGCCAGTCCGTATAAGGTCACTGCGCTGCAACCCCAGCCTGCCGCTCCACGACCACAGCCGCTAGTCCGATCAGGCTGTGTGGGGAGAGCTCCGCTCGGAGGCTCCAGCGGGAGGAGGGGGCGACGAAGGGACAATGGCGGCGCCCGGCCCTAATTGGGGACATATGCACCCGCGCGCGGCCATTGTGAGGCCCCCCAACCCCCAGAGCCCCGCCATTGGCCATTGGGCCTGACGTCATGGGGGCTGCAAACTCCGGGCGGGCGGCCACGGGAAGGGGTTATTCGCCTGGTTGCGGGCCGCCTGGGGAAGCTGCAGGCGCGCGGAAGGGCGGAAACCACCAATGGAGCGGAATTTCTGGAACGGGGGCATGGCAGCAACTCTCACCATGCACACCCAGCTTGCTACGACGCAACTGTGCTGGACATCCGTCCCGCGGAAGAGGCGGGGGCAGAGAGGTCCCTCCAGCGGGCACAGGGTCAGCCGAGGTGACAAGAGAGGCAAGAGGCACTGCGGCACAGGGCGCACGCAGGCTTCCACCCTGCGTTTTCGCTGCCTCAGCATTCACTCCTTTGGTCTCCCGCCTCCCCCCCTCCCCCGCGCCTCCGCACACCCCGCGCCCAACCTCCAGACCTCGTGCGAGGCTGCGTGGACGCGGCTGAGGTCCGCTCGCGTTCCCCCTAAAAGAACCAGAGTCTGGGGCGCCAGAGCGTCAGGCCCATCCCCACCTCTCCCCTCACCCCTGACGATGCCACCAAGGGTCAGGGCGCCATTCCCCGAGCCGCACGGGGGGAACTCCGCACAAGTCGAGGCCAGGCATCCCCAGGACCCCTCCCAGGAGACCCTGGCCCGGCCCAGCCCAGCGCAGCCATTTCCGCCGGCCTTTTCCCCTCCCCGCCCACCCCCTCCCCCAGCGCTTGGCTTTAAAAGCCAGAGGCTGCGCTCGGCGGCAGGCAGAAGAGGCTTGCGGGCTCGGGAGGCCTGCCCCAGAGCTGTCCGAGAGCGGAGCCCCGCCCCCGGACCCCCGTCCCTCCCTCCCTCCCTCCTTCCCTCCCTCGGCCCGCCCTCCCCGAGTACCCCTCCCCCTGAGGACCCCCGCCCGCCGCCCGCCGCTGCCGCCGCCGCCGCCCGCTCCGACTGCAGAACAATAAAGCCAGCCTCCCAGAGACCCCCGCCGAGGACCCCCGCCCGGCGACCAAGCCCGGGTGGCCCGCCCCTCTCCGCCAGCGCCAGCTGAGCGCGCCCGGGCGCTGGCCGCGGTGCTGCCCTAGTCAGCGCTGGCCGCGGTGCTGAAGCTGCTAGTGCTCCTGCCGCTGCTACTGTCGTGTTCTCTTGGCCCGGCGCTGCCGCCCCCGGGGGCATGGGGCGCCGCTGACTGAGGCTCCGCCGCCGCGGCGGGGGGGGGGGGGAGGGGAAGGGGGCCGTGGGGCCGGGCCAGCCCTGCACCCATTCGCAGCCTCCGGGCCCGGGACGGAGCCGCTCCCCCCCTCTCCGCCCCCCCCAGCCTCCTCCCCCGCCTGTCCAGGGGCGGCACTGCGGGCTGGGAAGCCGGGACCAGAGGAGGGAAGGAAGGAAGGAAAGAAGAGAAAAGAAGAGAAGAGGAGGAAGGAAGGAAGGAAGGAAGGAAGGAGAAAGAGAGAGAGACAGAAAGAGAGAGGAGAGATCTGGAGGGGAAGAAGAGGAGACGCAGGGCAGAAAGAAGAGAGAGGATCACACTCGCCCAGCAGCATCCACAGGCCAGACTGGGGACAGTGCTGCTTCCACCGCTCCTCGGATGGTGACAGGGCCTCGCCGCGGACGCAGTCCCCCCGAGCCCCGGCTCTGCAGGCCCTCACTGCCGGAGCCCCGCAGGAATCATGCCCAGGTCCTTCCTGGTTAAGAAGGTCAAACTTGACACATTCTCTTCGGCAGACCTCGACAGCTCCTACGGGCGCGCCCGCGGCGATCTCGGAGTGCGACTGCAGGATAAAGGTGCGCTCTAGACTGCAGCTCGGGCAGGGCCCAGGGCTTTGCTGGAAGGGGTGGGTGGCCAGAGTGTGGGGGTGGAGTGGCAGGGTAGGAGGGGATGGAAATCCAGCGGAAGCAGCCTGAGGCTGGAACCTGGAGCCGAGAATGGAGGCTGGGGAAAGGGGTGCAGAGTAAGGCCAGACGTCTTCCAAGGTGGTCAGAGCGTGGGTGCTAGAGGGGTAGGAAAGAGGGGGGAGGAACAGGAAGCACTCCAGGCGCACACTGACTTGTGCTGAAATACACACAGCTGAACGGACACCTGCTGACCCAAGACCCAGTTATACGGGCACATGCAAACCCACACCCAGAGATCTAGATCCCTTTCACTTTTCTTTGGCTGCATCTTCAAAGCCCCTTGCTAGGGCCAACTAGGGAATGCTGGGAGCTCTAGGGAGTGGGCATGGGGTCTGGCAGGGCCACCCACCTGTCAGGGCCTAGGTACCAGAAGAGGCAACAGTAGTATCTTCCCTGGACTCAGGATTAGGGAGGAAGAGGTGAGCAAGGGAAGCCAAGGTATTGGAGTCGGGAGAGGCTCTTTGTGTAAGGGAGCCCAAGTTCAAGGACAACTGTTAGCATGCAGGCGAGGGGGACAGGAGCGCCAGCAGTGTGGGATGGCAGAGCAAGTGTGACCTGCGGGAGCATAAGCCTGTGTGGGCCCATGTGACTGCGTGTGGCCATGTGACTTTGTGCGCTTGTGTGTGACCCTGTGTGTGTGCCTGCGTGTGTGCCACTACATGAGACCACGTGACACACTTGAGGCCGATGTGCACCATGTGACTGAGAGTGTGTCTGGATTGCTGCATATGTGACCCTGCATATGTGGGAGTTCCAATGCGAGGGTCAGGAGGCAGCACACCCTGTGAGGTGACACCAGGCCCGATGATCTCTGAGAGCCTAAGTGTAGCCCTGAAAGAGCTAGAGCCTGCCTTGTCAAGGGTACGTACTTGTGATTCTGAGATCGTGAGAGATCCACCTTGTACTTTGGGAACAACGGCAGTTACTGGCATGAGTGATGTCCACCTGCAGCTTGCCTCGCTCTGTTAGCGTGTCCCCTAGTGGATGCTCTGGCAGTCTTCCTAGTCCCCTGTTGGGGGCTCAAGAAGGTCCCTAGAAGGGTTAGGTCCTGGGAAGAAAAGAATGTGGTCCAAAGTAGGACCCAGGATAATGGAAAGTAGTGGGCGGAGGTAAATGAGTTCAGGCTGCAAGGGTTAGGGGTCAGGTCCAGCGAGTGCCAGAGAGACGGGAGATGAGGGGGAAGTACCGGCGATGGCCAGAGACAGATGCTGGCTAGGTAGAAGACGCTAGGATTTTGTTGGCACACCTAGGGAACCAGAGGGACAGCATCAGGTCTGGAAGCAGATTTTGGAGCCTGAAGAAGACCCCAGGGACCCCGAAGAGGCAGGACCGTTGGGGTCTCGGGGCTGGAGGCCCTGGCTTTGTGCGCGGCGGGTCTGCAGTGTGTTGCATAATCAGGGAAAACTGCTGAAGTGGGGAGAACCCGAGGGGGAGGGGAAGGGGGAGGAGGAAGAGAGGAGCGCCGCCCCTCCCCCCTGACCTTGAGGCTCGCTGAAGGGGGGCAGCCGCGCCCGAAGATGCATCTCTCTCCTCCCCGCGCGGGGGCGGGGCGCTTGGGTGGCGGGGGAGGAGCCCTGCCTGGCCCTGTCTCATCCTCTGCTGTCTCTCTTCTCTCCTCTTTCTCTCCCCACGGTCTCCATCCTCCCTGCCCTGTGCTCCCGGGCCCCCTCTCCTTTGTCCTAATCCCTGTCCGCCTTCCTTCCGGACTCCAATGTCTCCCGCTGTGTCTTCTCGGTCTCCCGCCGCCCGCTTTGCGTGTGTCTTGCCCGATGCTCCGTTCCCCTCCCGCTGTCTGTCTGTCCGCCTCCGCCTGCAGGATACCTCAGTGACTACGTGGGGCCTGCGTCTGTCTACGATGGCGACGCTGAGGCAGCTTTGCTCAAAGGGCCATCCCCGGAGCCTATGTATGCTGCGGCTGTGCGCGGAGAACTGGGTCCCGCGGCCTCTGGCTCAGCCCCGCCGCCCACCCCTCGCCCAGAGCTGGCTACTGCTGCGGGCGGCTACATCAACGGCGACGCGGCGGTCAGCGAAGGCTACGCGGCTGACGCCTTCTTCATCACTGACGGGCGCTCACGCCGTAAAGCTGCTAATGCCAACGCTGCCGCGGCCCCTTCCACAGCCTCGGTGGCGGCCCCCGACAGCGACACTGGAGGTGGGGGCGGGCCGGGCACGCGAGGTTCTGGATCAGGGTCCGCTAGTCGGGGCGGCACGCGCGTGGGGGCGGGCACCGAGGCGCGTTCCGGGCCAGGAACCCCGGGCGCTGGTGGCCGGCACGCGTGCGGCGAGTGCGGCAAAACTTACGCCACGTCGTCGAACCTGAGCCGCCACAAGCAAACGCACCGCAGCTTGGACAGCCAGCTGGCAAGGCGTTGCCCAACGTGTGGCAAGGTGTACGTGTCCATGCCGGCCATGGCTATGCACCTGCTCACGCACGATCTGCGCCACAAGTGCGGCGTGTGCGGCAAAGCCTTCTCGCGGCCCTGGCTGCTGCAGGGCCATATGCGCTCTCACACGGGCGAGAAACCCTTCGGCTGTGCGCACTGCGGCAAGGCCTTCGCAGACCGCTCCAACCTGCGCGCACACATGCAGACGCATTCCGCCTTCAAGCACTTCCAGTGCAAGCGCTGCAAGAAGAGCTTCGCGCTCAAGTCTTATCTCAACAAGCACTACGAGTCAGCCTGCTTCAAGGGCGGCGCCGGCGGCCCCGCAACCCCTGCGCCGCCGCAGCTCAGCCCGGTTCAAGCCTAGGGCAGCGGGGCCTCCGCTAGCCAGGTCGGCTCTCAGCAATACGGGCTCCCCCAGGGAAGTCTCCGCTGGCGTCCGGGCCGAGGGGCTGGAGGGCGGGCCCCTCCTCACAGCAATAGGGGTAGGGAGCCGGCCCCACCCCGTCCCGCTCGCCAGGAGCCTTGCCAGCCCCTTCAAGCAATAGGGTCCCGAGGGGAGACCCACCCTGAAACCCCTCCCCTCTCCTCCAGGGTGCCCCCAGGCTTTTTCCCAGCAATAGGGTCGACCAGACCCAGAACCGAACCTCATCTCTTAGTTGGGTCTCTGAAGACAGGGGTGAGGTGAGGTAAGGAGCGCCCTCATCCCTCCTCTGCGCCCCTGGATCGCGTTGCAGAGACTCAGGTCTTCCCCACCCCTTCCCAAGCCTTTCAGGCCAAGCCTTCCAGGCCAAGCCTTTCAGGCCAAGCCTTCAGCCCGGCGTCCAGGAAGCCAGCTCCACCCGGGCAGCTGGCTGGAGGAGCAGGCGAGCAGGCGGGCCAGAGGCGTTCTGTTCCACAGGCTTTGCAGACCTCCCGGGAGTGCTAGACGATTTGGGGATGGGGAGGGGCGCGGACGGCGGCAACCCTCTCCCTCGAGTTCTTTCTGGGGCCTCAGTCCGAGCCTCCCTCCTACCCTCACCTCGCATCCTTTGCCAAATCCGAATTCTTCCAGCCCGGCTTCTGGGGCTCTGTCCTCCATAACGAATAATAATGACGCATATCGGAATCGCATGAACTTATCCGACCTACTCAGACCCCGATCCCACCCTGCCCCGGGGCCCCCTCCCTCGCTCCCCAGGCTTCGGGTGTTGGAGGACGGATGCCCGGGCCGGCAGGCTGGCGTGCCACTGCCCTCTACACACCTCTGTATTTGCTTTGCGGGTAAAGCCCCTTGGGGGGGTTGCGGACGCGTCGGGTTTCTTTCTTTCTGTATTTATACGTTTTATTTATGAACGGATTGCACTCGGGTCAGGGAGGGGGCGCCGAACCCTTATGCTTCCCGCCGACGCCTCGGGCTTAGGTTGTCCAGGACCACTTCCTCTGCCCCAGAGCTTTGCCTCACAGAGGCCGACCCTTTCCCGGAGGCCCAGGCCCCGCCCCACTCGGTCGCCAACTTTCACCCGTCTATGCCAAAGCCTCGGCGGTGACCCTACCCCAAGGGCCCGCCCTATTGGCCGCCGCCTTTGTGACATCACTGCATGCAGTCCCGCCCTTCTCCCCAACCCTTCCCGGGGCTGCCCGCTCCCCTTCCTCTTAGTTAGTCCGATGCAGACTATAGAGCAATAATGCGCACTGCATGTGAAGCTGCCGCAGCCTCTAGAGTTACTGAGAATCAGGTATCCCCTGCCCCACCCATCCCATAGGCCCCTAGATCAGGGATGCTGCGCGGGGCCGGCCACGCAGACTTTCTTTCCCCATTCCTTACCCCAGGGCAGAGCCCGGCAGGCATCATGGTTCCAGAGGCTGGAATAATGGAATGGTATTAACCGCGGCCTCTCTGTTAGCCCCTCATCACTCACCGACTCACCATTGGGTACCTACAATATGCCAGGCCCACTCCTGAATCCGTCAGAGATGTGGCAGCCTTCGGGGAGGTGCCTGTCAGTGACAGGAGCCAAACAAGCATGGGTAGGCCAGGGTGGAAGGCAGTTGCAGAGGGCTGGATCCCTGGGCCCTTGTGGCCTCTCCTACCCACCTCAGTCCCCCGTTTATGCTGGATCGTAGTCAGGCTCTGCCTTTGACTTGGGCCTTATGTTCCCAGCTCAAATCGGACAGGTCCCAGGGTCTCGGGGCCCAGCTTCACCAGGGCCACCCCTACAGGTACCCTTTTTTATTTTTTATTTTTATTTTTTTTGATTCCCCGAGATACGAGGCTCTGCTGTCTGTGCTGCTAAGGTCCAACTAGCTGGAGTATATGGTATGGCCAGCCTCATTCCAGCACCAAGCTTGGCTACCCTCCTGGTGCGGACCCGCAGGCCTAGCATAACAGTGCCCATATCCAACCCCCTTACTCCACCTGGCGAAACGCCCACAGTTCCTAGCCTGGGCCTGCCAGCCTGTGCCGCATGCACACGCACACAGAGGCGCCCATCCCCGCCCCACTCCTTACTCCTGTCTACCTACCTATGGAGAAGGCTGGAAGGGCTGTGGGCCGGCCAGGATCTCCCGCTTTGCCCACACCCTGCCGCCGTGGAAAGCCATGGGCCCCCTCCCGCCCCCATAACTAAGCAGCACAATAACCGACTTAGCGAATTCAGGTAGAAGGAACGTTTAGGTAGCACCTATTTTGTACTGATTCTACAAGTAGGGCCCGAGGTGCGGGGGGGCCCTCGGGTGGGGGCTGTGGCTGCCGGCCCGCCCCGCTCCCACCCCCGCCTGCGCCCCGCCACCTTGTACATACTCCTGGCCCGCAACAGGGCAGGATTTTTACTCGGGCCGTGTCCCTCTTCTGCCCCCGTTTGGGGCCGGGCCGGCCGGACAGACGGACGGACGGACAGACCTCCTTCCTAAGCACAATAGCACCAGCTCCTCGGAGCGCCGCACCTCCACGAGGAGAATAAATGCCACTCTTGATAGAATTTGGAGTGTTGACTGACGTGTCCTATTGGGGTACTGCTAGGGGTATCTGAGAGTGTGTAAAGGGAGATTTCCCGGTTCTCAAGGCTCAGACCAGTGCTGGAAATCTCAAGTGAAGCACTGGCCTTGGTCCTTCTCTTACTGCAGAGGGTCTGTCATTTGCTGGGCCAGTGGAGCACCTGTCTGAAGGCAGAGCCATTGATAATTCATTCCCCCTGGACAAGCAAATGTGCTCTGTCTCAGGTATTCAGGGCGCTCGTAGCATCTGGGTTTGTAGCCCAAAGTCAGGTCCTGCCCAAGCTGACCTAAAATGGCTGAAATATGCCCCGGGGGCTGCAGTCTCCCAGCCTGGGAAGCCTTCACTCTGTTCTCCTGAGTACTTCTGCAGCTGCATCGACAGCCCTGGGCTCCTCATCCTTAGCGATCCTCTGAGACGTCGTTGGAGGAAATGGGACAGCGGAGGTTTGAGGGTCTAGTTCCTCCCTTGAAGGCTGCTGCCGCCCAGTCAGATCACCAAGAAAGAGGGAGTGTGCTCCTGCAGTGTGCAAGGGGCAAGGCTCTTCTGCAGCCATCACCCTCAGACCTGGCCAGGGTGAGCCGAGGGGTTAGGAGGCAAGGCTGTGCTGGGTAGAGAGAGCCACAGGGACGGGGACTGGAGGGCTCACCCAGCAATGACCCCTGGCGAGCAGGTGAGCAGGTGGGAGTGGAGTGCCTCAAGTACTCTTTGTTCATGTGTCCAAACTAGGTCAATGTTAGGTCAGAGCCGGCACAGCTGCTACCCACAACCTGGCGAGAGAAGGGGCCAGACCCACTCAGATCCCATCCAGTGGGGAAAAGGAGAGATGTATCTGCAGCAGGTCATGGCCTATATGCCAGCAGCTTGGAGAATATTGCTGTGGGGGAGGGCCTACTCTGGGAAGCTTGGCCAGCAGTAACAACGGGAGTGAAGACACATCTGCCAGGTTCCCTACAGAAGGATCTTAGCTGTCACTGTCTCTGGGTGGGCAGAGATCATTTCCTATTTGCAGAAGAGGAACCTGAGGCTCAGGGACTCCACAGTTTCAGGGTCTTGGTTGTTTGTGTTCTTTTAGTGTGGTGGGCCAGAAGAATGGAAACAACTTCTTGGATGGCAGAGATGAGCCTACTCTATCACTGTAAACTCTCCCCAGAGGTGCCCTTGGTCTGTCTGTGACCTCGGGGTGCTGGGGTCAGCATGAAGATGTTTGTAAACTTCCAAAACCCTCCTAGCCCTCTTACTCCACCAGGCTTGCAAGGCTCCTTACTACAAGGCCCAGACCCCCTTTGCTACTACCTCTAGTAAGGAGGTCACGATTTGCTTTCCAATTCTTCCATCCACACCTTTATTCCCAGCCAACCTCACCTATAATTTTTCTTTTCTCCTGGCACCCTGGGTCACACCACCCTAGATTTTGATAGTGAAACTGTCTGTGTCAGTCATCCATTCCAGCCTCGGTGCTCTGGTACAGGTCCTACCTCTTTGCCACAGGGCCATCATATGTTTTTTTTTTTTTCTTGGTTTTTCAAGGCAGGGTTTCTCTGTATTGTTTTGGAGGCTGTCCTGGAACTCATTCTGTAGGCCAGGCTGGCCTCAAACTCACAGAGATCCATCTGCCTCTGCCTCCCCAGTGCTGGGATTAAAGGTGTTTGCCACCAACGCTGGGCCAGGGCCATCATTTCTGATGTCTTTGGTCCCTTCAGTTCCATGGCTTCTTGCAGGCTGACAGCTTTAAGCCTGGATGTCAATGAATCACTGCCTCCAAGGAGGTCTTGTACTCTATTGGATGGTGTGAGTTCATCTCTGGCCTGAGTGGCAGCCTCAACCTTCCACTTTTAGTTTCCAGTTTCGTACTGAAAGTTGGTGGAGCCAGAGTGCTAGCCCAGGAACACGTGATAGCTTCATATTTTGACAAAGGCGGGAGTAGGGAAGAGATGGCAGAGATCATGTGACTGACCCTCACACTTTAGGTTCTCAAGGAGATGTTTTCTTTCACTCTGCCTCCTTTTGGGATCAGTATTCACAAAGGCCCAGCCCCACCTTGCCCAGGCCCAGCTGAGAGACACGCTGGGCCAGCAACAAAGGAATGTTCTGGGAGATTGAGTGGATCAGGTTGGCTTTGATCCACAAAGGTCCATGACCAGGGCTGCCTTTCTCTGCACACTACACGAAGACACCTGCAAGGTAGCTTCATTTGGTCATCATGGTATGTGGCATGAAGAAAGACAGGAGGGAAGGAGTCAGTGGATACTACAGAAGTGGGGTGATCTCAATATGAAGGTTGGTGGCCCCCTGTTGGAGAGGCTACCAAGCCCAGGGTGAACACTTGCTTGGCCTATAGAGGTGCTTCTTGCTCCTGTGATCTACAGAGGAGCAAGTCACTATTCATCTTGGTCCTTATAGCGTTTCTGAAGGAAATCAGGTGTTTCCTGAGATCCAAGATTTATGCACTGTGATGTCTAAGCCAGGAGGGTTGCATGTCAGGCTGGCGACAGGAGTGTGGGTTGGGGTGTGGAGTGGTGGAGGAAGAGGCCATGGTAATTAAATTAGTTGCTTCATTTAACTAGCAACTGGACGGTTGCACAGACTTACGGTGGTATGAGTCTAGGTGTTTCTCCAGCTTGATCCTTTGACCGGGTAAGTCCTTCAAGGTCCACTTAAAGCGGTTCCTGCCTAGCAGCTAGGGGTCTCTCGGAGAACGACGGTGCCAGGGCTGTTAGCGCTGCCGGTCGTGCGCAGGAACACGGGTCTGGGGCCGCAAGACGTCAGTGCACGCACAGTTTCATAAATGACCCACACCCAAACCGCTGCTGGGTAGAGGGATGACGAAACTATGTATTTACAGAAGTGGGACAAGGGGCAGGCAAGAAGTCAGGGGAAGTGAGTAGCTGCCAGGGAGCCGCTGCAGTCCTCGGCGGTCCACCTTATTCCTTGGGGAGAGAGAGAGAACCTTGGACCAGTTCCACCCAAGTTCACAGCCCAACTGCGCGCAAAGTTGCTCCAGCCCCTCGAAGCGTTCCCAGGGTGCCGTGCGCTGTTGACTCGCGGCGCCTTCAACTCCCAGGAGGCGCCGCGCCCCGCTCCCATAGTTCCCAGTGGGCTCCGCGTCTTCGCTCAGGCCCCGCCCCCGCTTGGCCCGGGACTACAAATGGACTCGGAAGGGACGCCAGCGCCAGTCGTCTGCTCCTCGGCAGCGCAGCCTCGGCCTCGCAGAGGTGGTTGTGGCCTGCGCCGGCTACGGAGGCCGGCAGGGGGCGGCGGCAGAGGCCGTTGCTCAGGGTCCGGAGGCGGGGCCGCGGGTTACAGGCGCTGCAAGCCGCCGGCGGGCCTCGAGTGGGCCGCGACGAGGTGCGGGCCGAGGCCATGGGCGACCGCGGAGGCGCGGGCGGCTCTCGGCGTCGGAGGACTGGCTCGCGGGTCTCCGTCCAGGGTGGCGGCGGGCCCATGGCCGCCGAAGAGGAGGTGCGAGACGCTCCTGTGGGCCCCGATTTGGGCGCTGGGGGTGACGCTCCGGCTCCGGCTCCGGCTCCAGTCCCGACCCCGGACAAAGACAGACACACCAACGTGGGCGACGGCCACTGGGAGCTGAGGTAGCGGAGCGCCTGACCCCTACATCTGATCTCCCCAGCGACGCTCCCAGTTCTTAAAAGGTGGCCACAGCTTTGCGAGTCCCGAGTCTGGGGGTCCCCTTGGGAGAGGGTCACTTGCCAAGGTCACCCAGGTGGGGTCGAGTAGCCAACCAGGAAGCCGGACCGAGGAGTAGGTGGCAGTCCCTTTCCCAGATTGCTGAGGGAAGCATACAGTGAGGCAGGTCCCTTGAGGTCTTTTCTGAGGGATGGGTAGCAGGAAGCCCTGGGGCTTGGTGGTGAAATGCGCTTTCTTCTGTAGCGGGAGGCAGTTGTTTGCGGGGAGGGTTGCGGTGAAGAGGTGCCCTTGCAGAACTATGAGGAGTGCCCTCTGGTAGAGGGCTGCTCGAGGCTCCAGAGGACACAGCCTGTTTGAGGACAGGGGGATGAGCATTTGCCCAGGGCAGGGAACAGTACAGGAAGTTTTCTTGTACTAACAGAGTGCCTGCACGGCTTATTCACCCCTCTTCCTGTAAGTAGGAGGACCTGAAGCCCTGCTTTTGTTACCACAATGACTGCCGGCTATAGGGACAGAGATGACTACTAGTTGAGACTTCCATCCCCTGGTTGGAGTGCTGGGATGAGGTTGGGTATGGACACACCTTTGGGAGAGGCCCTGTAAGACTGTAAGGGATGGAGGAACGCAGCGTTGACTGCCTCCCTCAAGCTGGCTCTCTCTGGCGTTCATCATGGGACCCCTTAGTAACTCTGGGTCAGGAAGTAGCTGAGGGGCTAGGAGGAAGTGGACCAGCAGGCTGGCAAAGACTTGGTCTGTTTGTGTCCGTGGAGTCCTTTTTCTAGTGGGCACTACGGGAAGGGGCCCCACTGCCCTTAGGTGCTCATAGTTCACATGGGAGATAAGATAACTTCATCATGAGGCCTGCCTCACACATTGTGGACAAAGGTCAGGTAAGAAGGCCATGAAGGCACAGAGCGGGAGGAGGCTGGCCCTCCTGAGAGGGATGATGGTTTTCTGTAATCCAAAGCTGCTCTTGAGGGGGGGGTCGGCTTCCCACTTTCCATCTCAGAAGATGCTGATCTCTCTCTCTCTCCCTCCCTCCCTCCCTCCCTCCCTCCCTCCCTCCCTCCCTCTATTTCACTTTATTTAAAACAAACAAACCAAACGAACAAACAGACAAGCAGGGTTTCTCCGTGGAGCCCTGGTTGTCCTGGAGCTAGCTCTATGGACCAGGCTGGCCTTGATCAGAGATCCATCTGCCTCTGCCTCCCAAGTGGTGGGATTAAAGGCGTTCATGCCTGGCTCCATCTGAAAAGATGTTAAGGGTCTTAGAGTTCCCCTATGCTGACTGCCCTCATTGTCCTTCTCTTTAGGAGTCAGGAGTTTTGCTAGTATGACCTC